ATGGAAAAGGAGAAACAATAGAAGTTGTAAAAAGAATCAAGTGATTTATAGGGCTTCAGGGTAAAGGGAGGATGGGGTGAGGCACGAATAGGTGGAAAGCGAGATATTTAGAGCAGTGGAACTATAACATAAGGATTTGGTACTGTTACGGTTGATACATGACATTATACATTGGTCATAATCTATGGAGCTATACAATACAAAGACTGGACCCTAGTATAAACTATGATCTTTAGTTTGCAATAATGTTTCAATATTTGTTCAACAACTGTAACAAGCATAGCACAGGAATAAAAGATGTTAATAATAGGGAAAATTGTGTGAGATGATGGAGTGACAGGGCAGAAGTGCAGAGAGGAGACATATTGTACTTAATATGTACAGGAGAAATTGTACTTAATACTCATTTTTTTTTTTTTGGTAAACCTAAGTCTTCTCTAAAAAACAAAGTCTATTAATATAATTTTTAAAAGCCTATTTATAATATTTAAAAGTGGGTAAACATTTGTTGTATTACTCATATTTCTTTAAAAACTTTCCAAATTCTATACCTAGAAACAAGGCTGCTAATAAATTTCTTTATAGTTTTTCCCATTCTACATTAAGTGGAATTATTAAAATAGGAAGAGAACAGCATAGACTAACCATTCTCACCTACAGATATTATCCTTTGTGTGGTTTGTTGTAATAACACCAGGAAGGAAGGAATAATATTCATAACATCATCAATAAGCATTACGACCAAAATCATATTTTGTATCCTAAGATCTAAAAGTATGTTACTGTAGCCCCTCGATGACATTATTTCGTATGAAATACAGATAATTATTTCGAATTCAGGAAGAATTAAGCCTAATTAAGCCTTTACTAAAACTGCAGTTATTTTGGTGGAATTTTTTATTTTCTGGAGTTTATGTCTTCATCAGTGTAAAAGATAGCTTGTATTATCTCTGGAGTCCCATTCATCTTTACATTCTATTGTTATATGATTTTATAGTTGTATTTGTTAATGAGGATCTTATGATTTTGGGTGGTGAGACAGTTCATGCAAATGAACATGATAAAACATCATTTCCACAGAAGAGTAATAGTAGTTTGTTCTCACACTTACATATGTTTACAAAACTATTCTTTTAAGTAGCTTTTTCTATTATTCTATATTTCTATTAATAGTAACTTTTAACTATTCTTTTAAAGATCTTATCTTTAAAATCTGGACCATTATTCTGTGTGGCTGCATTGTCATTTTTCAATAAACACAATTTTTTACTAGTTCTTGGTGATATCTCTTGCCTCAGGCACACACTATGGTTTGCGTCACTCATCTGGACCAGGCTCATGTCATTGGTCATTTTCTGAAGTTTGCTTTCTTTGAAATACCAGGAGATTTTAAGATATTTAATAGCAAGGCTTATGCTGATAATGAATTCAAAGGAGGGAGAATTTCATGGATAAGTGAAAAAAAGAAAGATTTCTGATTATCAGAGGGGAGGGGTGGGGAATGAGTGAAAATGATGAAGAAGAATACAGTCAGTAATATTGTAACAAGTTTGCACAGTAACAGAATTAGTGGGGCAATCACATTGTAAGGTACAAAAATATCAATTCACTATATTATATACCTGAAACTAATATAACTAATGTATTATTGTATACCAACTATACTTAAATTGAAAGAAAGAGAAAGGGAAGGAAGAACGGATGGATGGACAGACAGACAGAAAGAAAGAAGGAAGATAGATCTCAGATAAATCTATACTTAAACTGGATCTTGGGAGATTTATCCGAGCAGAATAGAGGAAAGAAGTTAACCTGTTGCAATAAAGTAATGGTAATAAGGGTCTAGGAATATCATAGCTGGTTGAACAGTTTGAGTATTTGTAGTTTTAAACTAAAGTAATGGTATAAGTAATAAAAATAGAGCTAATTGTAAAATTTAATTTGAAGGAAGAATGTAAAAAATTAA